GCTCGCGAACGCCAGGGGTCAGGACTACATGCGGGGGCGACGCTTCTGGTCCAACACCCACGCGCTGGACTCGAGCGGGCAGCTGCTGCCCGAGGCGAAGCGCCTCCTGCCTGGGTTCGGCTACGTGGGCGAGCAGACGGCGACGGCCCCTCGCCACGAGGAGCTAGGGGCCGCGCTGGACCGCCTCGCGTCGGAGGCCGCGCTGACCGCAGGCGCGGGCATCTGGCAGGCCAGCCCCAGTCAGGGCCTGGCCGCCGCCGCAGGAGGCTCGGAGGAAACGCGGTGGGGCTCTCCACTACCCGCGGACCTCCAGCGAGCAGCCCCCGAGATCTACAGGGCGACGAGAGGCGAGGGGTCGACGGGCGCACGCGACTGGATTGCTCGGCGATACCGGGGGAGCAGGACCAGCCCAGCGTGGGTCGACCTGTGGACCCTAGCCACGTCGGTCGACTTCCGCCTCCGCGACTGCAGCAGTGATCTGGAGATCGCGCAGGCGCTGGCCAGGGACGACATGATGGAGATCGGACTCCGCCGCCTAGCGGCATACGTGTACGAGCAGCGGAGCGGCGACCGCGTCGGGGCCCAGCACATGTTGGGCATCGCGCCGCCTGGCGGCTCAGCCGACGCGGCCCCGACGTGGATGGTGGCCTCAGCGACGATGCGCTCGAAGATCGAGCACCAGCGCAGGGAGAGAGTCGAGGCCGAGGCACGCCACAGGCGCAAGAACGGGGTCTGGGCAGGTGCCAGGGAGAATCCGGGGAAGTCGTTTTAAGCAAACAGTCACACTTCGTGGTCTTCGAGGTCCCAGAACTCGACTCCCGGGCCACATTCTGAATGCCCGGAGCCAACCGTAGGCCACTTCGTGCTCTTCGAGTTCCCAGAACTCCATTCCCCGGCCACATTTTGAATGCCCGGAGCCAACTGTAGGCCACTTCGGGGTCTTCGAGTTCCCAGAATTCTATTCCTGGGCATGATTTTGAATGCCCGGAGCTAACTGTAGGCCACTTCGTGCTCTTCGAGTTCCCAGAAGTCCATTCCTGGGCATGATTTCGAATGCCCGGAGCCAACTCTAGGCCACTTCGTGGTCTTCGAGGTCCCAGAATTCCATTCCTGGGCATGATTTCGAATGCCCGGAGCCAATTGTAGGTCACTTCGTGCTCTTCGAGTTCCCAGAAGTCCATTCCTGGGCATGATTTCGAATGCCCGGAGCCAACTGTAGGCCACTTCGTGGTCTTCGAGGTCCCAGAATTCTGTTCCTGGGCATGATTCTGAATGCCCAGAGCCAACTGTAGGCCACTTCGTGTTCTTCGGGTTCCCAGAACTCCATTCCTGGGCATGATTTTGAATGCCCGGAGCCAACTGCAGGCCACTTCGTGTTCTTCGAGATCCCAGAACTCCATTCCTGGGCCACATTTTGAATGCTGAGGGAGGCTGAGGTTGAGGCTGAGGCAGGCTGAGGCTGACGCCGAGGCTGAAGGCAGACTGAGGCTGAGGCTGAAGTAGGCTGAGGCTGAGGCTGAGGCTGAGGCTGAGGCAGGCTGCTGCTGAGGCAGGCTGAGGCTGAGGCTGGGGCTGATGCAGGGTGAGGCTGAGGCAGGCTGAGGCTGAGGCCGAGGCTGAAGCAGGCTGAGGCTGAGGCTGAAGCAGGCTGAGGCTGAGGCTGAGGCAGGCTGAGGCTGAGGCAGGCTGAGGCTGAGGCAGGCTGAGGCTGAGGCTGAGGCTGAAGCAGGCTGATGCTGAGGCAGGCTGAGGCTGGGGCCGAGGCTGAAGGCAGACTCAGGCTGAGGCTGAGGCAGGCTGAGGCTGAGGCTGAGGCTGAGGCAGGCTGAGGCTGAGGCTGAGGCAGGCTGAGGCTGAGGCCGAACCTGAGGCAGGCTGAGGCTGAGGCAGACTGAGACTGAGGCCGAGTCTGAAGGCAGACTGAGGCTGAGGCTGAGGCTGAAGCAGGCAGAGGCCGAGGTTGAGGCAGGTTGAGGCTGAGGCTGAGGCAGGCTGATGCTGAGGCTGAGGCTGAGGCAGGCTGAGGCTGAGGCCGAGGCTGAAGGCAGATTGAGGCCGAGGCTGAAGCAGGCTGAGGCTGAGGCTGAGGCAGGCAGAGGCCGAGGTGTAGGCAGGCTGAGGCTGAGGCTGAGGCTGAGGCTGATGCAGGGTGATGCTGAGGCAGGCTGAGGCTGAGGCCGAGGCTGAAGGCAGAGTGAGGCTGAGGCTGAAGCAAGCTGAGGCTGAGGCTGAGGCAGGCTGAGGCTCAGGCTGAGGCAGGCTGAGGCTGAGGCAGGCTGAGGCTGAGGCTGTGACTGCGACTGCCGTTGCCGCTGCGACTGTCATCGCGAATGCGACTGCGATTGCGAGAACAGCAGAATTCTACAACTGTATTATCATATGCATCTTGAGGGGAATGCTTCCAGATATGCTCCTACACATCGCTGTTAGGTTGCTTGGCCGGGATAAGGTTGTATTGTTTTTTGAAAGGGATGGGGTGGGGGGGGGGGGCGCATCGGGTTGGTTGCGTATGCTCCAAAAGTTGAGGCAGAATGCGGGTTGTACTGTTCCCTACCTAGGCTGTGCCTAGAAAGGGTTCTTACTCTCTATGTTAAAGGGGCCGGGCAGTGGGCTTCGCCCCGGGCGGTTCCCCCAGGATCCGCCCCGCGGTTCCCCCAGTTGCGCCCCCTGGGTTAACCCAGCTTAGCTTAGCTTAGCTTAGCTTAGCTTAGCTCAGCTCAGCTCAGCTTAGCTTGGCTTGGCTTAGCTTGGCTTGGCGTGGCGTGGCTTAGCTTAGCTTAGCTTAGCTTAGCTTAGCCTAGCCTAGCTTAGCTCAGCTTAGCTTAACTTAGCTTAGCTTACCTTCGCTTAGCGCAGCGCAGCGCAGCATAGCGCAGCGCAGCACTAGCACATCACATCATATCATATCATACCCAAACATAGCATAGCAACGCATAGCACAGCTCAGTATATCATAGCATATCACATCGCAGCATAGCATAACACAGCACAGCATATCATGTCATAGCGCATGATATCATAGCATAACATAACCTAGCATAGCATAGCACATCATGGCATAGCGTAGCATAGGATATTTCATCATATCATGTCGCAGCATAGCATAGCATAGCATATCATAGCATAGCATATCATAGCTTAGCGCAGCAAATCATACCATACCATAGCATAACCTATAATATCATATCATAACATAGCATATCATAGCGCATCATATCACAGCATATCATAGCCTAGCATAACACAGTGCACACGACCGTATCCTAGCATAGCATATCATAGCATAGCGCATCATAGCGTAGCATAGCAACGCATAGCATCGCATAGCATAGCATAGCATAGCATAACGCAGCGTAGCATAGCATAGCATAGCAGCAAGGCAAAGGCAAAGCAACAGCAGCAACAGCAAAGCCAAGCACAAGCAACGCAAAGCCGGACCTGCAGTGCTGAACAGCCTGCAGCTCTTGCAGGAACCGCGAGCAGTGCTGAACAGCCTGCAGCTTTTGCAAGCAGTGCTGAACAGCCTGCAGCTCTTGCAGGAGCCGCGAGCAGTGCTGAACAGCCTGCAGCTCTTGCAGGAGCCGCGAGCAGTGTTGAACCTAGTGCAATCAGTGCTGAACACTCTGCAGCACTTGCAGGAGCCGCGAGCAGTGCTGAACAGCCTGCTGTCGCTGGGTGCACAGCAAACGCAACAGCAAAGCAAAGCAAAAACAACAGCACAAGCAAAAGCACAAGCAAAGGCAAGGCAATGCAAAGCAAAAGCAAAACCAATGCGAAATTGTAGATGTAGCTGTGGATGTAGATGTAGGTGTAGATGTGGATGTAGGTGTAGATGTAGATGTAGATGTAGGTGTAGATGTAGGTGTAGATGTAGATGTAGATGTGAGTCTCGCTGTTGATGTTGATGTAGATGTAGATGCAGGTGTAGATGTTAATGTAGCTGTCGGTGAAGATGTAGATGTTGTTTTCCTAGATGCTCCAACTCCTAGGTAGGGCCGCACTGGGATCAATTTTTGACAGGGATGGTGGGGGGCGGGTCGTCATGGTGTCCTCATGGTTCCTGGTTGGATTCCGGTCGCCTGGGGGAGGGGGTGTACATCAATAAGGAACAGTGGTAAACTTTTTACCCTGAGGGGAAGACGAAGGTTGGAAAAACTAATTCGTCAAACCACGTCCGCCCAGACGGCGGTCGGGATTTCCTTTCCCCCGGGGAATGTTCGCCCCCACCGCCCGCCGCCGGCAAGTGGCGAGGAGGAGGAGGAGGTGGACGGAGGAGGTGGACGGAGGAGGAGGGAGGCGGAGGAGGAGGAGGACGACGACGTGTCCCGCCCGTCCGCCCGACCGACTCGCCAATGACGACGACGTTGCCTTGTCGTCGGCGGCGAGGGGGTGGGGTGGGGGTGCAGGGGGGGTCTCGCTGGGGAGGGGGGGGGGTCCTGGTTCTGGAGAAGGGGGTGTTCTGGCGGGCCAGGCCAGGACTTTGCACCAGTGAAGCTTACAGAGATGTTTCTCGGTCCGAGATCAGTTGCAGTTTCTCGCTCGTGTGTGAGGATGACGTCAATTTGGGTCAACCGTGCAGTGTTGCGCGCGTACACATATTCGCCCCTTGGCTTGTCCTTGGCGGGTGGTCAGGGCGAGCCGTCCAGGGATGGTCCAATCGGATCGTCTCTGGTATCTCAACATGGTGTTCCCGCTGCAACGATCGCCAGGTGTCAGGATCGATACGTTTCTCTCGTCCTTCTGAATGGAGATAGTTTTCTGGTGTCCGCCGATATTATCGGAACCGTCCGTCCCCCGTCCTCCCTCCCAGGATAACCTGACCTTGTCGGTTGCGCAGGTCCGAAGCGGGCACGCAGTACCGGCGCGCGCGGGCACACGTGGGGTTACCCAGGGCGAAAAGGTCGGGCTATCGGCCCGCACCTCCCTCCCCCCACAGGGTCACCTGGGTCATAACCGAAAAATGCAGAACGGTCTCGTGGCGATCTCGCCCGGGTGTGGGCCCCAATGATTCGGGAGCCGCTTCCTGCTTCTCGTGGCCCTCTCCCTCGGCCCGCTCCGTGGCCCCCCCATCGGCGCTACCCAAACGTATTGATACAATGTGCGCGTCGCCCTCACATGGGCGACGCGCGCGGCGAGAAATTTTGCAGTACCTGCTCCGTTGCGGGCTTGGGAAACGACCTGCTACGTGATCGTTGTACTTCGGAGGGGCGCCAATTATCCGTAAGCGCTTCGCCCCCTGCCGCCGGCCCCCTCTCTCGGAGAATGGGCCATGGAAGAGCGAAGTCATGAGGCTTTGGCTTCGCCGTGAAGCAGTGTCGGGACTTGTTTGTTTTTCGACCCTGACCCTACGGATCTGCGTGAGAGGTGCCGCCGAATTTCAGAAATGTGGCAAATCCTTTGTGTTTTTGGACCCTGACCCCGCCGATCTGCGTGAGGGGTGCCAGCAAATTTCAGAAATGTGGCACATCCCGTGTGTTTTTGCACCCTGACCCCGCCGATCTGCGTGAGGGGTGCCACCGAAGTCAGAAATGTGGCACATCCCATGTGTTTTTGGACACTGACCTCGCCGATCTGCTGCCAGACATGTTGCAAATCCCTGATGTTTTTGGACCTTGACTCCGCCGATCTGCGTGAGGGGTGCCAGCAGATTTCAGAAATGTGGCAAATCCCGTGTGTTTTTGGACCCTGACCCCGCCGATCTGCGTGAGGGTTGCCACCGAATTTCAGAAATGTGGCAAATCCCGTGTGTGTGTGTGTGTGTGTGTGTGTGTGTGTGTGTGTGTGTGTGTGTGTGTGTTTGCACCCTGACCCCGCCAGTCTGCGTGAGGGGTGTCAATTTTTACCCACCCCAGCAATTCAGACAGTACGTTTTGGCGGTGGTAAAAATGCCCGTTTTGGGCCTCCCCCCCTCGCGCGATCCATCAACAAGGAACAGTAAGCAGCAAGAAGCAGAACTGTAACAAGGAGCAGTAAGCAGCAAGAAGCAGCACTGCAACAGTGGAAACTGGAAGCTGCAACTGGTACAGGAAACTGCGAACCTTAGGCCTACAGCCTGGTGGCCCCACAAGGGGGCCAGCGGATACACCACCACCAGCCCTGGCCAAGTACTTATTGGGCCCTGGATCGGTGTACAGACCTCCTGGCCTAGGCCAGGAAGGCCTGTACACCAGTCCAGGGCCCGCGATGGGCCTGGCCAGGGCTGGTGGTGGTGTATTGTTTGGAGCTCTCCTATTACTGTATGCTCGGGCCGGACGCACGCCTCCGAGGAGGGCACGCAGTACCACCATGTCCTTGTGCGTCCCCACCTCGCGGCGTGCGCGCCGCCGTGCCCTGTGCTCTCTCCACCTCCACCAGCAGCCTCGCGCACACGCCGCCTCCCCAGCGACGCCTCGCCGCCGTCGGCCTGGCCGCCTCGCTAGCCCGCGGTTCCCGCCCGCCGCGCGCACCTCGTCGGAGCGCGCGCGCGCCGTCCTCCCGACCAATGTGCGCCTCTCTGCCCCGTGGAGGCACGGCTCCGCGTCGGCCTCTGGTCCCCCCCCCCTCGTTGCCTCCGCCTCTCCTTTTCTCCTCCCGCTGCTCCTGCTGCTGCTCCTGGGTTTGCTTTAGCATGGGATTCAGGAAGTGAGTGAGGGTTTTCGCTTGCAGCTTTTCCTCTCAGGGAGGGGAGGCCAGTGCCGCGGGTTTTGCATGGCACTGGCGCTGCGGCCGCAGCACGCCGCCGTCGGCGTCGTGGGCGCCGTGCTGCTGCGCCACGCGGACCTGCTCTACCAGGCCTTCCTGCACCAGGCCGGCTGGGGCGCCTCTGGCGGCGTGGAGGCGGCGGTGAGCGCCGCCCGCAAGGCCGCGGAGGCGGCCACCATCGCCGCGGCCGCGGCTGCAGGGGCGGGCGCGGCCCGCGAGGAGCAGTGCCCCCAGCCGCCCGAGTGGCTGAGTGCGCCGGTGCCTCTGGCCTGCCCCGAGCCGCCGGCCTGCGAGTGCCGGTGTGAGGGCGTTGGCGAGGAGGCGACCGACGGGCACGAGCTGACGCAGCAGCCCGCCTGGCAGGTGCTGGGGTCGGCCCTAGGTCACATCCTGGTGGTGAGCGTCGGCAAGTGCTGTGCCCGCCGTCGCCGCGATGGCGAGCAGGCGCGCCCGGCCGCCGCTGAGGATAGCGGCGAGCGCGGAGGAGCCGAGCCTGCGCGTGCCGCAGTGGAGAGGGATGGCAGTGCTCCGACTGGCCAGCGGCCGCGCCGTCGGGGAGGAGGCGTTCTGGAGTGAGCTCTTCCCTGGCGGCTATGTGGCCGTCTATTACAGTGACGACAATGTGTGGCATGAGAGAGTGCTGCTGGGCCAACTGGATGCTCAGCACTGGGTGATAGAGACGCCCGACCATGACATGTACATCGAGAACATGGCCTGCTCCAGTCCTGAGGACGGCCCTTGCCGTGCCGTGGTGCTGGATGACAGTGGGGCCCTGCCCGTCTTCTTGCGGGGCCGAACCTACCGCTTCAAGGAGTACCTGGGGGAGGAGGATTTGTTGGCGCGCCTGCGGGAGGCAGGTCAGCTGGCAGTCGAGATGGGCTTCGACAGGCCCGCGCACACGCTGTACCTGGACTCCCTGGGGGAGCGCAAGCCGCTGTCCGTTGCCGAGGCTGCGGTGCGCCGCCGCCGCAAGGGCCCGCCGGTGCCGCCGCCTGCGGAGCCGCCCCCGGCCATCGGGGACAGTGCCGCTGGGTGGCCGTCTGGAGATCGGCCCGCAGCTGACCACCTCGACGGGGGGCTCTTGCACGAGGAGGTGGGCGGCACCGCGACGCCCCCCGCCCTGGACGACGCCGGGGAGGTCGCGAGGGATGGAGACGCTAGGCTCCATCAAGCGCGGTGACGAGATAGAGCTGACGGACAGCGACAAGGTGATGGGCGAGAGGGCGCTTCACAGGCTCCCAGACGGCCAGGTCGTCACCGCCTGCCCCGCCTCCAGCCTGGCCGCCACTCAGGAGGTGCGCGGCGCTGGGGATGGTGCTGACGCCCGCGCGCTGTCGCCGGTGGTCTACGATCCAGGAGGACGCCGCTGGTCGGAGTTCTCGGCGGCGGTCTCTCGCATGCGGGTGGGGCCAATGGATGACTTCCCACTCGAGGGCGAGAGGTCCGCGCTGTGGCTCTCCCAGTATGCGCGGGACCACGGCGGGACCTTCGACGCGCGGCAGACGAAGTGGGCCATGGAGCAGCGCATCTCGCCCGACTCCACGGCCTCCTTGATGCGCGACCTGGTGGGGCTGGCGCTGGACTTGTCCGTGTGCGACGACCAGTGCGACGGCGGCAACCTTGCCAGCGTGGAGGTGCTGGCGCGGCTGTGCCAACTGGTGGAGGAGACCAGCGGGGCGCTGCAGCTGGAGGGTATCGAGCACTACCTGGGCCGCGACAGGACAGGAGGTCTGCGCCGCGGCGTGGCGCTCAACCCGTCGCTGGCGCAGTGCGCGACGGAGAAGAAAAGCAAGGAGACGGAGGTGGCGAAGCAGCGGGGGAAGGCTCGCGAAGAGGAGGGGGCCGCCAAGAAGAACATAGGAGGCAAGTCAAGCGCTGGCAAGGCCAGCCCCTGAGGGAAGGCAGCGCTGCGGAGGCCCCCGGCCGCAGCGGCGCGAAGAAGGGGCCAATTCATCGTCGGAACGCCGCCGTTGGAGAGGGGGGTGGTTCTTCCCCCCTCGCTTGCCCGCGGATAGAGCAGCGCGACAGTGGTAGCAAGCGATTGTCGAGGGGCACTGAGCAGAGAGTTCGTCGACGATTGAAGGTCCAGGAGGCCACGTGCAACACCGTTCGCGCGATCAACCGCCTGGCAGGTATTGAGACGCCCGAGGTGGAGTCCGTCACCGGCTTGAGTGGCCCCTCCGCCGAGATCTACAGTGATGCGCGGGCGCTGCGCTCGGCCCGCGCCCCCGTGCCGGGGAATTCGTTTACTCCGAAGGAAGCCTTCGACGAGCTTCTCGGGGGCACGCCCTCGACCTACACTGATAGCGACGAGACTTCCCCCGTTCGGCCCTACTCGCGCGACTTGGTCAGCTGGCCGGCCAAAGGTAACGAGCCCGCGCCCCTGGCCACCAACGCGCCGCTGGACATGCCCCAGCACTTCACAGAGGGCCAGCGCGACGCGTGGCTGCGGCAGCCGCGCGAGGTGCAGCAGGCGAGGCGGGGCGAGGGCCTGCCGACGCTGTATGGCGATGCCATTTTGAAGGAGGACCGCAGCGCAACGGCCTCGCCCGCGGGATCTTCCGCCTGGCGCGTCGTCGGAAGGAGGCCATCAATATATTCTTCGTCAACATGAAGGACGGCAATATCCGCATCGTAGTGGACTGCGGTCGCAGCAACCAACACTTCGTGGATGCACCCAAGGTGCACCTCGTCTCCGGCAGCAGCTTCGCCGAGGTGGAGGTCCCAGAAGGTCGTCAGCTTTTCTATGCAGGAGGAGACGTCCAGAACGCGTTCTACCAGCACCGCATGCCAGCCTGGCTGCTGCCCTACTCCGGACTGGACGCAGTGAAGGCGAATGAGGTCGGCATCGCGCAGTTGGATGGGCAGTACCTGGCTGGGGACACCATGCTCTATCCCTTGATGAATGTGGTTCCCATGGGCTGGAAGTGGGCACTATGCATCGTTCAGCGCATTCATGAGCACGTGCTCGATGGAGTGCCCGAGCTGGGGCCACGACGTCGGGCGATTGACTTCCGGCCACCGCCCCTGCCAGAGGGGGGCGCGCTGCGCACGGTCTACGTGGACAACTTGCTGATCGAGGGCCGCGACAGGGATGAGGTGACGCGGCTGCGCCGAGCGGCGTGCGAGGCGCTGCAGGCGGCGGGCTACGCCGCCCATGACGAGTCGGACGCAGCCGAGAGCATGGAGATGCTGGGCGCCGCGCAGCAGGGGCAGCCTTGCCGCGTGGCCGTTGCGGCCAAGCGGCGCTGGAGGCTCAGGAGGGCGCTGGAGTGGATCCATCGCCGGCGGCCGCCGATGACCAGCCGCCAGCTCGAACGGCTGATTGGCCATTTCACGTTCGTTGCCTTGCTAAAACGTGAACTCCTCAGTTGTCTGCGTGCTAGCTATGACTTTGATCGAGGGAATTTTAAGGAGCCCAGGATCCTTTGGAAAAGCGTTTTCCACGAACTCCGCTCGATCCAAGGGCTTCTGATTTCTCCCTCTCGGGATCTGGATCCGAAATGGTCCCAGGAGGTGCTGGCTTATGATGCATGTGAGTCTGGGCACGGTGCAGTAAGGGGGGCTTGGACGGTGGGGGATGCACAGTCTGTAGGTAGGTGGCATGAGAGATGGCGGTTCAAGAACGACGAGGACCCAGCAGGGTATAACCCTTCGCGCCAACGCGTTGAAGGACGTCTCGGTGCTCGGGGCTGGAGTCTGGGAAGATAAGGAGGTCGATTTCAGCAACGTCTACGTTAATAGGGAGTTCCCCGAGGTGCCCGCGAACGTGGTAGAGGCTACGTCGTGGTCCGTCGAGCGATTCCAACCCGTCTTCACGTATGGGCCGACACATGTCACCGAGATGCGTGGTTTCTTGGGAGCTATTCGTCAGGCCGTGCAGGATCCAAAAGATTGGGGGCGTTCGTGGTTGATATTGGGAGATAATCTTGGGCTCATCTTGTCTCTCTCCAAGGGCAGGTGTCGAGATCCACGTCTTCTCATGCTTCGCCGTAAGGCAGCAGCGTGGGCTCTAGCCACTCGATCCAGATTCGTATGTCGATGGATACCTTCTGAACTTAATCCCGCCGATGGACCCTCCCGCAAGCGAGAGCCATCTACGAAGAGCAACGCAGTCAGCGCCAGCTTGGCGGCCAAATCATCTTCGCTCGAGGAGCAGGTCAGATCAGAACCAGCAGGCGACAAGCCAGCCGAGGGTGCCCGGCAGGTCGAGCGAGACGCAGGAGGGCAAGCGGCAGAAGGCCGGCCTGAACGTGTCGAGCTTGGTCGGGGCCAACCGCCGAGCTCCTGGTCATCCGATCCTGGGCCTGCTGGAACTCAAGGAGGCCGAGCGCGAGAAGGAGCTGAAGTTGCAGGAGAGGCGAGCCGCGAGGCGACTGGCAACCCACGGGGAGCTGCGGGACACGACAGAGGGCCCCGGTATCACCGAGGAGGCCTCGCTGACGCTGAAGACCCGAGGTCAGTACAAGCGACGGCTCTCGGATTTCCAGACGAAGCAGAGTGTCGTAGACCTCAGCCTGCGCCCGGCGGAGCTGGACGCTCACGTGGTCTGCCACTTCGATCGGCTCTTTCTCGAGGGCAAGGCGCCGTCGACAAGAGAGAAGCTCATTGCAGCGATACAGTACGTGGTACCTGTGAACAATGCCAAGGGTATGATGACCCTGCCCAGAGCGACGCGGTCACTGCGGGGTTGGCGCAGCTTGGTGCCCAGGAGGGCCCGCCGACCCCTGCCGTGGGAGGTGCTGGCCGCGATCGCGGTGAACCTGCTGCGCATGGAGGGGCTGGGCATGGCGCTGGCCTGGCTGCTAATGGTGGACGCCTACATGCGGCCGGGGGAGTGCCTGGACTTCAGAACCACCCAGGTGCTCAGGGTGACGTCGCAGCGGCACATGGCGCTGGCGGCCATCCTGCTGCACCCCGTCGAGCACGGCCAGTCCAGCAAGGCGGGGGCGGTGCGCGAGAGCCTCATCGTGAGTCGCCTCTGGCGGTCAGACATACTGAAAATGTACGTGGACGCCCGCCCCAGCACGGGGCCCTCGTGGGACTTCAGCCTGAAGCAGATGAACGCGAGCTTCATCGCCGTATGCGGCGTGGTTGGCATCAGCTACCTGAAGCCAGTCCTGTACATGGAGAGGCACTCTGGTGCCAGCCTGGATCGACTCCACAACCGCCTCGACCTCGCCGAGGTGCAACGTCGGGGAGGATGGAGGAGCATGGCGTCGGTCAGGAGGTACGAGAAGAGGGCCTTGGTGCAGGGCGTCTACAGCAAGCTGGACCAGCGCAGCAGTCTCATGTGCACCAGGTGCTCGCTCGAGCTCGAGGCAGCCATGCTAAGAGCTGGCCAGCAGCTCCGCGCACACCGAGGCGTGCCGCCAGGAGAGGTTTCTTCGTGATTGAGGTGTTCAGCGGGTGCGGCAGCTTCAGCCGAGCCGCTAAGCGCAGAGGGATCGATGCTTTCGCCTTCGATATCTTGCAGGGCCCACAGGGCGATGTCACGCGCGTCAGTGTGCAACGACGCATCCGAAAGTTGATTGCACATCCTCGTTGTCTCGGCCTGCTCTGCGCCCCCCCGTGTACCACGTGCAGTATTGCGAGAAGGCCGATGATCCGCTCCAAACAACGCATCCTTGGGCTGCCGGGTGTTGAGCCCCATGTTCGAAGACAGCTCGAGATGGGGACCCGCCTCGTGCAGCTGACTGCCCAGTTCTGCGCTTACGCTTCTCAGCGCAACGTACCGTGGGTCATCGAGAACCCGCGAACGTGCTTGATTTGGTCCACCCCTGAGTTTCAAGGCCTCAGTCGAGGCCTCGACGTCGAGAACATCGTGACTCACACATGTGGTTTCGGGGCCAGATGGAAAAAAACCTACGACCCTGTGGTGCGCTGGACTGATAGGAATCGAGAACACGACTTTCAAGTGTGGTAGCTACGGAACTAGGCCCTGTGAGTACTCAAAGCAGCCCCACATCGTGTTGACTGGTGGGGGCCCTCTCGGGGTCCGCTGGGCTAAGCGAGCGGCCGCCTATCCTTATCGCTTTGGGTCCTGCCTGGCCAGAATCTTCATCGACAATGGGTTCGCTAGAGTACTTGGGGCCTCTTGCCGTTCCGGTATTTCGGTGGTGCCTTGGGCGAAAGCTAGACTGAATTGGAGCACCTCGAACCGCTAACGAGTTTTGCGTCTTTGGGGTGGCATCAATGTTCTCAGGGCGCCGACGCGCCCCCGCTCTGTGCCCCTGGATCCGCGCCGCCTCGACGCACCAAGGATTGCAACAGAAATCAGGTTCAGGAAAAAACTGGAATGGCATGACTGATGGGTTTGCTTCAGCATGGGATTCAGGAAGTGAGTGAGGGTTTTCGCTTGCAGCTTTTCCTCTCACCGTCCAACAGCCCCACCGCCGCCCTTTGTTTTTTGGAATCCCAGCCCCCCTTGCAGGGAAACCGTTCAGTTTTGTGCTAGTGTTGCTGCATGTACATAAAACGGCGCACCGGGTCCGGGGGCCCGGGGACGGGACCTCGACCACAAATGCGGGCCCCGGGGGGCCCGGAGGCTCGTCGGACCGCCGGGCGCCGTCCAAGATCGTTCGCAGGCGGCTTCGGAACGCGCTCCGATGGCTCCAGATGCCTTCCAAGACGCCTGTCATGACACCAAGAAGGTCCCAGAAGCTTCCAAGACGCTCCGAGAGGCAGCCCAAGAGAGGCCCAAGAAGCAAAAATCGTGCCATTCCTATGGGAAAACGTATATTTTTCGCATGTTCGCCTCTTGGGCTTTCACCGCGTCCAAGACGGCCCAAGAGGCGCCCAAGACGGTCTACGAGGCCTCCGGGAGCGCTCCAAGGCTGCGCACGAGTGGCCCAGGGCGGCCCCAAGACGGCCGAAGAGAGCCCCAAGACGAGTTCGAGAGGGGTCCCAGACGGAGAAAACCAACCTCGAATTCCGAGCTTCCGGCCCAAGAGGCTCCAGGAGGCGCCAAAATGCCGCCAAGAGGCGCCAAAAAGGCTCCCAAAATCAGCCCAAGACGTTCCGAGAGGCACCCCAAGAGAGGTCCAAGAAACAAACATCGTGCCATTCCTATGGGAAAACGTATATTTTCGCATGTTCGCATCTTGGGCTTTCACCGCGTCCAAGACGGCCCAAGAGGCCTCCAAGACGGCCTAGGAGGCCTCCGGGAGCGCTCCAAGGCTGCGCACGAGTGGCTCAGGACGGCCCCAAGACGGCCCAAGAGAACCCCAAGACGACTTCGAGAGGGGTCCCAGAAGGAGAAAGCCACTCTCGAATTCCGAGCTTCCGGCCCAACATATCCCAGGAGGCGCCAAAACGCCGCCCAGAGGCGCCAAAAGGCTTCCAAAATCAGCCCAAGACGTTCCGAGAGGCACCCCAAGAGAGGTCCAAGAAACAAAAATCGTGCCATTCCTATGGGAAAACGTATATTTTTCGCATGTTCGCATCTTGGGCTTTCACCGCGTCCAAGACGGCCCAAGAGGCCTCCAAGACCCTGGGCCTGGAGAGGGACCCCCGCGGGTGGTCAGAGGGGTCTTTTTCGACTCCTGGGAGGGCTAAAAAACGACGACCCTCACGAGGATCGGGGCCCCGACAGGGGGACCGAGTTTGGCCCCTCTGCTCTTGTTCGAAGCTAAAATCATTGATTTTACTACGGTTTTGGCCCCATTTTGGCCTCCTGAGGGGGCCGCGCTTATCTTCCTTCATAGCAAAATCATTTATTTTACGAAGGTTTTGGCCTCATTTTGTCCTTCTCAAGGGGCAGCGTTCCTTTGCGCTTCTGAGGAGGTCGCAAGAGGCCCCAAGAAGGCCCCAAGAGGCCCCCCGGAGCCTCCCAAGAGGCCTCCAAGAGGCCCCCAAGAGGCCCCAAGATGGCCCCAAGAGGCCCCCAAGAGGCCCCCAAGAGGCCCCAAGAGGCCCCCAAGAGGCCCCCAAGAGGCCCCCAAGAGGCCCCAAGAGGCCCCAAGAGGCCCCCAAGAGGCCCCCAAGAGGCCCCCAAGAGGCCCCCAAGAGGCCCCAAGAGGCTCCAAGAGGCCCCCAAGAGGCCCCACGAGGAGCCCGAACGACTCACACCAGGACGAGGGGCCCGAACGACTCACACCACGAAGAGCCCGAACGACTCACACCACAAGGAGGGGCCCGAACGACTCACACCAGGACGAGGCGCCCGAACGACTCACACCACGAGGAGCCCGAACGACTCACACCACGACGCGGGCCCCGAACGACTCACACCACGAGGAGCCCGAACGAGTCACACCAGGAGGAGGGGCCCGAACGACTCACACCAGGATGAGGGGCCCGAACAACTCACACCACGAGAAGCCCGAACGACTCACACCAGGACGAAGAGCCCGAACGACTCACACCACGAAGAGCCCGAACGACTCACACCAGGAAGAAGGGCCCGAACGACTCACACCAGGACGAGAAACCCCAAACGACTCAAATCACGAGGAGCGTTTTCTCTCCCTCCTCCTCCGCCTCGTCCTTCTCCCGCTCTCAATCCACAAAGAGGATGTACAAGGAGGCGGGAGGAAGGAGGGACAAGGGATATATGCGGGGCCAAGCGGACACACGCCTGAAAAACACGACTGTCGGCATGCTTCGCAAGAGCTGCTGCTGTGAGATGGGCTGGTGGGGATACGCGAAGCGTAAAGAATTAAAGATACTGGAAAAGGAAAGCACCAAATACCATCCCTCCCCCGAGAGAAAGGATGGATCAGGAGCCCGCCATGGAGCGGAATCAACATGAAGATCCGCCTTGTCTAGAGGATCGGCGTGCCGTCGTCTCCTACCCCCGCCCAATGAGCTGTGCATGGAACAATGGCGATGATGAGTAAGATTTTTCCCTCTTTTCAACCCCTGAATGACTCTGCTGATGACGGAGGCGGCGACAACAGCAGGCTCCCTCGACAGGAAACGCGTATGGGCACCTGACGGGGAGGGCTCGCCTCAGCGAGCTGAAAACTTCAAATGAACGGCCTTGCGATCAGAGAAGCGGCGCCAGGCGCCAATTGGCAGAGACGTTGCAACGTTTTCAGCCGGGCCGGGCCCGAAATGCCGCACCAAGGGAATACACACTCGGGATACCGTTAATCCGAGTCTCCGCTCGCCAGGTCGCCATCTGAGGCCCGAGTTAGCGGTGCTAGATCATCCTCCCCACAGAGGTCATCAATCACAGCCTGGGTTCGAGTCCTGTTAATCAGAGAGGCGGCCAGACTGTCAACCCGCTCCTCTTCGGCAGGGTTTTAATATGAGCAGGCAGATCTGGCCTCGGGCACCCTGGCGAGCGCTGAGACCTCATCCAAATCAAAGGATGAATTAACTGAAACATTCGGCCGTTTGGGTGCTTTCCTCGACAGACAATGGACCACGCCCATTTGCCGAAGCGCGAAGGAGGCGGGGTGCACTTACTGTTAAGGGAAGCCACGCGGCCGCGTGAGCAGCATGGCAGGCACGCAGAGTAAAAAATGAAAGTGGCGCCGTCGCTGCACGGCAAAATCAAACACTTATGGTCGTTGCCGGCGCATTACTGAAATCATTGTGTACCTGGCCAGTGCATCTGCCAGGAGGGGGCTTTGAAGGCCAGCACTTCCTGCTGATGTTCCAACAGGTCGAGCAGCGCCAGATATTACCCATGCGCGCCCAAACGCGGGGGACAACTGAAGGCTCCACTTTAAGAAGTTTGGGAGGGGGGTGTAGGCGACGGCCCCAAATTCCCGGAGAAAGCTCCACAGCGGCAGCAATTTCAAAATGAGCAGGCAAAACGCACGACCAGAGTTCAGTTCCAGCTTGATGTCGTCAACAACTGATGACTCAGGCCGAGGGTGGTGAGCGATAGCAAACTTAGCAGCCTGATCGGCGGCACCGTTGCCCTCTCGATCAAACCGCACATGGTCGGAAATGTGTGGCTCGTCAACACTCTGGTTCGCGCGAACGTGCGTGACCGACTGCGCATGCACAGGAGACGGGTGCGCACGCGCCTGCAGGGGGTGACCAGCATACGTGCGTTTCTCTGATCACTGGAGCGTGACAGGCAGGGCATTGGAATATACTGCACCCTTGCAATATGAAACTATCGTGCTGGGTCCAGTCATGAGCTGGATGGCCACAAGATTGGCGCAAGATTCGCCAGACTGGGGGGTCTGAGGAAAATGGGCCCACACGAGCCCCATGACACGGCACGCCAGGACCCCGCCCACGTAGAGAATGACGCTCCACGAAGCACGATTCATCTCACGAGCCAGCAGCCTACTACAGGAACCGTCCACAAACAGCTGGCCTACAAATTTCCAAGGGTGGGGTGGGGGGGATCGACATACCACGTGTAGTCCCAGGTCCACTCGTCCATGTGCGCAGGGGGCGGGATGCGATCTTCTGGGTGAGGGGGGGCCCCATGGATGAGCAGGAAGAGCTTGTCTGAACCTGGTGACGCGAACGCAACGGCACCGTCCACAAGTTTGTCGGGCACGAGCTCTCGACGCTGCTCATCGCAATCTGGGCAGATCCATAGTCTTTGGAAAACCGTGTCCGAGGGGCCCCCGCACTCTTCGCAAGCCTCGGGAAAATCATATCCTTACTCCTCGCAGAACTCCTCGCCCAAATCGCCTCCCAAGCAGAAGCACGGAGCGACCCCTTCCCCAAAGGTGTGAACTTCTTTGAAGCCAGCGCCGCGCTGACCACATCATAGGACAGCCTATGCTTGAAGTGGTGCTTACAGCCGATGTCCCTTTCCAGGCAGCGGAGGACCGAGTGCACGAGGCGCGTCCTAAGGAGGGCTAGGGAGGTGAAGAGAAGCTCGTGAGTATTCCCTAAGTCGTCCTGCAGGGAACAGAAAGAGGGCATCTCCCAACCTAGCCTGGACAGGGCCATCAGCACCGCAGCTATTGGGCCAGCCACGGCTCGCCACGAGGAAACTCCTTTGGCCTTGACGGCCGCCCAAAGCCTGCGCAGCTTGGGCAAAGACAGAGCCGCCTCGTGCAGTCTAGCATTCGCGGCCCAGACCTCGCGATGCCAACGACACACACACACACAAGCAACTTGAGTGAGCCACGTCCTTCTCCAGGAGAAGCACCACCCGAAGAGAGCGCTGCGCAGCAGAAGGTTTCAAAACTTTGGCGAACGATCTCCTGAGGTCCAGCAACTCCTAGGGAGAGACCCCGTAGCACTCGCAGGCGTAGTTTGCGACGGGGAGGGGCCAGCGATCCAGAGCCTGCGGGCCCTGCGTCCAATGGCGCTCGCCAATTTTGAAACACGAAGAGCTCGAGCGCGACCAGCAAGCTGTCTGGCCTTAGCCCTGGAGCCTCGACCCCGAACCCGCAAAGCCTGACCCACGGCGTCATCAATGCCGAGGTTGGGGGAGGAGGAGACAACCAGCACCAGCAGCGGCAGCAGGAGCGGGGAGCGGAAGGAGAGCACGAGGAGCAGCAGGAGCAGGAGCAGCAGAATCAGTCATGCCATTCCAACATTTCTTGAACCTGATTTCTGTTGCAATCCTTGGTGCGTCGAGGCGGCGCGGATCCAGGGGCGCACCAGAGCGGGGGCGCGTCGGCGCCCTGAAAACATTGATACCACCCGTGTGGTGCCAGGGCGAGGTGAGCAGGACAATCCGCGTTAGCGGTTATATAAGACTAGAACAACGCGCGCGCTTCGCGCGCGCTTAGGTTCTAGCTAGGAGGCGAGCTTGAGTCAACGAAAGTCGCAGGGAAGGGGGCAGGGGGAAGAAGGCCAGAGAGCGCTGAAGGATACAAATACTGGAACCCTCTTGTGATTTTGTGGGGGGCCTCGTCCGGCCGCTCGCTGGGAGTTTGACGTAGCTTCTCGGGAGCCTCTGAACCTGTCGGGGGCCTCCTGGAAGCAGGTTCGAAGCATTTTGGGGGCCGATTTGGGGCTTCTCGGGGCCTCCTTTGGGCCTCTTGGGGGTCTCCTGGGGCCTCTTGAGGGGCCTCCTTGGGGCCTCCTGGCGGCCTCTTGGGGCGGAAGGCTCGAGCTTGCGGTTCGTGGTCCCCCTCTGGGCCCCCTCTTGGGCCCGTCTTGGGGCCCTCTTGGGCCATCTTGGGCGCCTCTTGGGCCGTCTTGGGGCCCTCTTGGGCTGTCCTGGGGCCCTCTTGGAAGCTTCTTGGGCCGTCTTGGGGCGGGGAGGGGGTAGGGGGAGGGGTAAACCCCTCCCCGAAGGGGAAGAAGGGGGGTTGAGGACAGAGCGGGCTCTCTAAACCACTCACGCCCAAAGGGCTGGTGGGATTTTGCAAGCTCCTGCCTACTGTGCAGAAGCTCTCAGCCTTGATCGATGTACCGCAAACGACGGGCAGTATCCTGGAGCTACCATTTGGAGGCCCAGATATCCGAAGACACCTGGGCCGGCGGACAGAGGGATTCAACGCCTTGGGAAGGGATCGTTGGGAGTGGTTGGATGTCGGATGTGGTACGAGTGCACCCAATTTGTCTCCTTCCTCTTCTCCCTCCCTCCTCTTTTCCCTTCTCTCCCTTCTTCTGCTTCTCCTCCCCCCCATCCTTTCCGTCTCCCTCTCTCGGCTGGCTTCGCACCTCCCTACCACCATTCTGCCCCCTTCAGTTCCGATTTTGCGGGATACTCTTCCGCCATCCTTTCACACTCCGCTACCAATTTGCTCTACGCTGTCGAATCCGTTTTTTTCCCCCAGGATGCGCCAGTGCGCAACCGTTCGTTCGCGATGCCAGCCTTTCCTCAACCGTAGGGACGTTGATGGCGCTGGTGCTGCGATTAGGACGCGCGCGGCTCAGAAAAGCCCTCTTCAACCTTGATGCTGTCTTCTGCCCGCCCATCCTCATCTGCGGTCGTCGTCGTCCTCCATTCTCGTCCTCCGCAGTCACCTCCAGCTTCCCTCCCCTCTTTCTCTCCCCCCCGCCTTCTTCGCAATACGACATCATGGCCCGGGCGCCACTCGTACCGTGTTGGCAACGCCGCAGTTGGGGCGCTCAGCCGAGCGACGTCGACGGTCCAGTCCTCACCAGCCAGTACTTTTTGCCCGTTTGCCACGCCCTGCCCAGCCTGAGGACAGTGCTCAGACGCCTGATCGCATCAGCATCGGCCTGGCCACGCGAGTCTTCAAGGCTTGCAGCGACCGCAGCGAAGCCGACGCAACCACCCCCCACGAGCTGACACCTACACACCCCTACCCATACGTCCATTCGAATTCATGGGGTGGAATTCTTGGGCGGGGGTACGGTTGCGGGTTGTCGGATGGAGGTCCCCGCTCGAGCGGGAACCCCCGTCGGGGTCCGACAAGTCGCACCCATACCCATGGCGCGTTCATCGCCTTGCCCTTCCCCATTCCACCTCCCTAGAGGTTTGAATGTGTGTTGTTCGTTGATCAACCCCGCCAGATCCGCCCAACGCCGGCGAGGCCAAGGGCGGCCAAACCGCGCCGACGGGCATCCCCTGCCCCTGAGACGGCGGCCCGGCCGCGCAAGCGGGCGCTGCGCGCAGAGGAGCGCTGGTGCCCGCGAGCGCGCGCGAGGCCCATAGCGAATCCGACGCTGGCGAGGCCAAGGGCGACCGAGCCGCGCCGACGGGTCCGCTGACGTGGAACTTAACTACCTGCCTCCCTATCCCTGCGATTGGCATCGCCTGATCTCCGTGCCGACCTCGAGGGCGTAGCCCTAAGGTGGTCCCCACCTTTGGGCTTGTCAACCTCAGTGGTAGAGGCAAGTCCGAGGCTGGTAATGAGCGGCGACCCGTCCGCAGTGAGCAGGCGCCGCGCGCAGAGGTCGGCCACGCGCAGAGGGGGTAGGGGGAGAGGGGAATGCTTCTTAGAAGCACCCCTGCTTCTTAGAGGGCGCGGGCCTTATCTGTGGATGTAAGGCCGGTGCTTTGTAAGAAGGCAGCCTCTTTCTAAGAAATTTCCCCCCCCCTTTCCTCTCGTGCGCGCCGCCGAGAGCGCGCAGGCGCCCGGCGAGAGCGCGCGCGCGGCAGCCCTGGGCTTGGCGCGCGTGCGCCCGCCAGAGGCTCGGCGCGTCGGCCTGCGGCCTCTGGGCCTCAGAGAGCCGCCCCCCCCCCTTTTTTCCCTGGCGGGGTGGGTGGGGGGGCCTCGGAGGATGCTAAGTCCGTGCGGGGGAGGGCCGGCCGCACGGAGGGCTCGGCCTCCGTCGGGGCTTGCGTACTCCGTCTGGACTTGGTCTCTCCTGGTGGGATGCTAAGTCCGCACGGAGTGCCCGGCCTCCGTCCGGGCTTACCTCGTCTGGACTTAGCCTCTCTTGGTAGGATGCTAAGCCCGTGCGGCGCGGTCTGCTCGGCCCCTGACCAGGCTTACCCCATCTTGACTTGGCCTCTCGTGAGCGTCTGCGCGAGGGCGCGAGGCGCCGCACGCATCACGCGCTCGGCACGGATTGCGATTCTGAACCCGTGGGGTCGGTGTGTGCAGGACGCAGCCAGCAGCCAGCGTGATTGACGGCTGGAGACTTGGTCATGGAGCGAAAAGGCAAGCTTGCCAAGTGGACCCGTGATGATGCTACCCCCATGTCACGCGCTCGGCACGGGCGGCGAAGCATGGGGGAGGCCGGCTGCAGGGCCGCGGTCCTCGTGTGCCTCGGCCAGGCGCGCGCGCAGGGGTCCTCATGGGATTGTTGTATGTCCTCGAAAGGGTTTCTTTAGAGTGGATTCGCTTGCGCTAGCGTCTGGTAATCGACGAGAGTTCGCCGATTTGGCGTCGATCAGCGTCGATTCAGCGCCGTTTTGCGTCGATTCGCGTCGGTCAGTGTTGGCAGCGTCGATGAGCGTCGATCAGCGTCAGTTAGCGCCGATGCTCGCAAGGGCCAGCAAGACGACACGGGGGAGGGTTTCACGAGTGGTCGCAGAGGCTAGGGGGGCGGGGTGCTGCGCGAGAGCGCAGGGCGCTGGACGTACCACGCGCTCGGCACGGGTGGGCGGGGATTGTGGGGAGGCGGGCCTTGGGCCGCGGACCTCGCGCGCCTCGGCCGGAAGGCGAGTGTTCGCGCGCGCGCCTGCCGCGGCCGCGGGCGCACGCCCAGACCTTGCGCACCCTCGCTCCTTCCCAGCAGGGCATTTTCTTTTTCCCTGTCGACATAACGGGTGATTGGGGGGGAGAGGATCGGCGGCGTGCGAGGGCGGGAAGTGAGAAGGAGAGGGCCTCTCAGAAGGCGGCGGGACTTATCAGAAGGCCTCTGGCCTTCTTAGACGTTTTTTGTGTCTTCGGGGGAGGCTTCGAAAATCTTGCAGAAGGCCAGGGGACTTCCGAGCCCTCTAAAAAGGCCCGCCCCTTCTCATTCCCCTTTGGGCTCGTCGCCGACAGGGGGAGGGGGGGAGGGGTCGGTCACGTCGCGATTCGCGCTGGCGCCGCCTGGGAGCGCATAGGAATGGCTAATTCCACCAGCACGGCGTCGGCGGGCACGAATCGTGCCGTGACTAGGGGAGGGGAGGGTAGGGGGGTGCGGGGCTCGTCACGGGCGTTATCCCGAATAAAAAAACATGTTCTGATGGGAGAGCCCGACTTGGGCGGGGCCAGGACAGGGATAAGTCGTTTCGGGGCGTTGTGGAGCACTCTCGTAGTGTTCCAGGGCGCTCTGGAACGGCCTCGGCGCCCGATGCGTCCTCCAGAGCCGCCGGCCCTGTCCGATTTTGTCCTTGCCCTGGCTTCGTATTGCCGAGTGGCGTTTTTCAGTCGAAGGCATGCAAAGACCCGTTTGGCGCGCGCAACCAGCAGCGCATTGAGCGCTTTTCCACATCATGTATGCCCACCGAGCGCCCCCATGCAAGTTCACACTCCCTATCCCATCCTCCTGGCTCCCTTCCACTCTCCCACGCGAGCCCTTCACGCCTGATCTGCGCGCACGGCGCGTCATCTCCTGAGCGTGGTCCCAGCGATCGGCAGCCCCTTTAGCCTGTGCTCGCAGGTTCGGCGCGGAAGCAGCATCGAATCTCATTCGGAGCGCGCTCGTGCCAGGCCAGCCGTGCATGACAATATCTTTGTGAGTGTACTGATGACGATGAGGAGGATGCGGATGAGGATGAGGATGAGGAAGTTGATCAGGATAATGATGCTGCTGCTGCTGCTACTGATGATGATGATGATGATGATGATGATGATGCTGTTGAGGGTGATGATGATGAGGATGATGATGCTGATGAGGACGATGATATTGATGACGATGTTGCGGGTGATGGTTATGGGTGAGTAATATTTAGATTATGTAAAGGATGATGCTGAGGATGAGTTGTTGATGACAGTTATGACCTTGACGATGCAGTGGAGATGCTGAGCGTGATTATACTGCTGATGATTTGAATCGGGCCGGTGATGATCCTGATTATGATGATGCCTATGATAATGATGTTGCTGCTGATGATGATGGTGGTGGTGATTGTGATGATGATTATGTTGATGGTGATGCTGCTGCTGCTAATGAGGATGCTGATGCGGATAAGGCTGATGATGATGATCATCATCATCATGATGATGCTGATGCTGATGATGACGATGACGATGACGATGATGATGTAGATGATGTAGATAATGCTGCTGCTGATGATGATGATGACGCTGTTATTGTTGTTGATGATGACGGTGAGGATGACGAAGAGGAGGTGGAAGAGGAGGAGAGGGAGGATTATGATGATAGCTATGCCGATATGGCGATATGGCGATATAGCGATGCTGATGGTGATGCTGACGATGTGAATGAGGATGGTGATGTTTTGATGCTGTCGAACTCCCATTTCTTAATCATCATTATCATTGCCCCCATGTCCGGTACGCATTGTTATTCGATTTACGTGCTCGCCTCGACGCTCTGACCCTGATTTTGCCAGGGGAAGTCTTTGGGCCCACATAGGGCCCGGGCCCCTGGGCCCCGGGCTGCAATAGCAACGGCTCCCGCTTCCGATGTCCTCACAATCTATTCAGGGATCACGCCCTCGCCTTTCAGCTATCATGTTTTCGCGTGAGAGTTCTGTACAACTTACGCAGGGAGCGTCCTCTCGCCACTCAGGAATTGGCAAGTGCTAGGGCATTCTCACAATTTACCCAGGACTCGCGTTCCCGCCCGAGAATCCTTACGATCTGCGCGGGAATCGCGCTTGCATGTCCCGCCAGGCCAGCCCGCCTGGTCCGTCCGTTAGGGTCCGCCCGCCCGACCCTCCACTTAGGGTCCGCCCGCCGGCCCCTCCAGTCAAGTACGCCCGTGAGCTTGCCTGGACACCCGCCCGCCCGTTTTGATGTCCCGCCCGACTGGCCTGCCAGTTCTGGCGTCCGACCCGCCCGCTTTAATGCCACGCCCGCCCGACCTGCCCTTTCAGGTCCGCCCAGGATGATACTGATAACGACCACGACGAGGAGGAGGAGGAAGACGGGGATGATGATTACGATGATGCTTGTGACGGTGGTGAGGAGGAGGATGAATACGATGACGACGATGGTGTTGATGGCGATGATGACAATACTGATGCTGTTGATGATGATGATGATGATGATGATGACGAATATGCTGATGATGACGATGATGTTGGTGATGATGATGATGCTGATGATGATTATGATGATGATCATCATGACAATGATGATGATGCTCACGATGCTGATGATGATGATGGGTGATGCAAGGTTGCATCGTGGATTGTGGGTGGTGCATGGCGGTTGATGATGGATTAAATGATGATGATGATGATGATGATGATGATGCCGATGGTCATGTTGGTGGTAATGGCGATACTGACGACGACGGTCAAGGTGGCGATGGTGACGATGGTGATAGCGACGACGACGATGATGATGATGATGGATGCTGATGATGATAATGTTGATGATGCTGATGCTGATGGCGATGTTGCTGATGATGATGCTGCAGATGATGATGATGATGATGATGATGCCGTTGATGATGATGATGATGATGCTGATGCTGATGATGCTGGTGATGATGCTGATGATGCTGATGATGATGTAGGTGATGATGCTTCCGATGGTGATTGTGCTGGCGAGTCATGCTGAGCACTGTTGTTACTGATCATCATCATCATCAGCAGCAGCAGCAGTAGTGCTGCTGCTGATTATGATGCTGCTGATGATGATGATGCAGGTGGTCGTGGTGGCGGTGGTGATGATGCTTATGATACTGATGATGCTGATGCTGATATTGCTGCTGATGCTGCT